TTCCAACTACTTAAAAATATTAAAAAAAATTGTTAGGTCATAGTCTATACAAAAAATTGTGGGCCAGATTTGGGCTGTTTTTTCACTTTTCTATATCCCTTGGAGAGCTTTCCCTATGGATGTAAAACAGCTGTGTCTTTCTGTTTTAAGCGCATAGGACTCCATCCTGTGGATCTCTTAGTTTGTTTAACCAATCCCCTGCGAAGTGACACTTAAGTTGTTTCAGTTCTTTGTAAAATATTTTGCTATTTCAAAATAGTGCTGCTATGAATAATCTCGTTCATCCATCATTTTGGACATTTACAAGGGTCTTAGGTCAGAGTCTCCTAGAGGTGGAGCTGGGACGTGATGAGTGTGTGATTTATTAGGGGAGGGCTAAGAGGAGGAGGGAAGCAGAATGGGAAAGTGGAAAGAGCCACACAAAGGTTGGTCCTGGGAAAATCAAGCCAAGGCCATCCCTCCTGAGCCTCAGATTCCTTATCTATAAATTGGAGATGCCAGGAAAAAAAATTGACATTTATTTTTATTATAAAATAACGCATATTTACATTTACTGTGAAACATTTTTACTGAGAAAATTCCAAAAATGTGGAAACATAAATTTTAAGATGGTAGTTACACATATACAGGCACTCTCATTGTCAAGGACCAGCCATTGTTTACAGGTCCTTCCAGAACTTTCCTATGTCTATAGAAATATCTAGAGGGGAGAGAGAGAGGTTTTTCTCAAAATACAAAACTAGAAGTATACTGTCCATATTATTCTGCAACTAATTTTTTTTTATCCAATAAAATAATGTGAATAAGATGATGCATTTAAAGCACCTGGCTCAGTGCTCAATCCTTGGGAGCTATAATTATTCTATACAGCTTATAGGGACATTTTAAAACTTTCTTTCGGCAGCAGAACACTTATCAAACAAAATAGTATGTAGAAGCCCATTTATAAATTAGGCACAGTGGAGCCTCCAGGCTGGGGTAAAAGTGGGTGAAGTGGAGGGTACAAAGCCCCTCCTGTACTTGTCTCCCCATCACTGTTTGAAAACCTTAGTGTTTTGGGTGGGTTGTGGGCACATCACATTTAACTGAGTGGCATTATTATAGTATGCACTGTCCAGGAAGTTTTCACTTAGGTCTGAAGATCCCAGCGAGCTGAGGTGGGAAGGTTTTCTTCCCAAATTGGTTGAAAGAGCCCGAGAGGCCTCAGGCCAGAGCAAATCTTGGTGGATTATGTAGTCCAGTGTCTCCCCCTTGGCACCATGCTGGTCTGTGATGGAGTTTTCATTGGTCTATGAAGAAATGAAGAAAATAAAGTCAGTGAGGTGAGATTTCCATATAGTTAAGCTTATTCAAATGTTTCCTACTGGCATTGAAATGTCTTTTCTTTCATGAAATTATGGCAGTAATAATTGGTTGTTGTTGTTGTGTGTGTGTGTTTTTTACTGTCTTAACTAAATAAAAAGTTGGCAACTTTTTGTTGATCCCCTGAATTTGTTTCAAAATTTTACTGATCCGTGAAATCCTGAAGTCTAGAGATGGCTGTTCTGGTCCATCGCGGCAGATTTGCCAGGACTTCCCTGAAACAATCCCAGAGAAATAATTTTGTGCCAGGCGAGTCTGAGAACCACTATCCTTTAATGAAATCGCAGCAGCTCTTCCAAGGCTGATAGTGGACAGAACATCCCTCGGGAACTGGAGTCCAAGAAAGTCACCTTCTCAGTGAATCTCTCACTTCTCTGTTGCCACCACTCTCTGGGAGCCAGATTCGAGCTGAGAGCCCACAGCCCTCCACTCATGGCGGGACTCCCTCCCTGCCCAACTCCAAGTACTGAGCTGGGGCTTATAAAGGGAGATAGCAATCTCCTTATGGGGCACTTTCAGCATAAGACACAAGACCTATCAAAGAACCAGGGCTTCTTCCTTTACTTGGCTGTGGGCCTCTCAGAAGGCAGGACTTTCTGACTTGTCATTTAACCTCAAATCCTCATCACAGCAGTAGAGGACAACGCGCTGGTCTCGGAAGGCTCTGGTTTTTAAAAATACGCTGATACTAGATTAGACACTTGGCCCTTTATATGTAAGGATGCTTGGACAGTGTAAAAGATATTTGGGTTGTCTTTTATTCCGCTTAGATACAGAAGAGTTCTCAGTGGCTTGGGGAGAGGTACTTTGTCTGAACATTTTTTCTTTCTTTGAATTTTTGAATTCTGGCATAGTTTTCAACTTGTGACTGCTTATTTATACTTTCAAAACAATCACATGGTCTTTCTGTTTCTCTTCATTCTCACCACAGCCCAGTGAGGTGGCAGTCACTATTCCTGTTTCACTGATGAGGAATCTGAGGCTCAGGGGAGCTCAGTGGCGGCTCAAGGCCGTACTGCCATTGGGAGGCAGAACTGACATCTGCCTGGCCCAAATCCTGTCCTCACTCCTCTGTACAGACAGGTCCTTTTGACAACTAAGGAGTACATTTTTTTTTCTTCTCTGCAAAGTTAAAACATTGGCTCTTCAGGAATTTGAACTCAGGAATCTTGGGACCATTAACATTGAGTTCCAATTAGAGAAACAAGTGACAGTAACAATAACAACAGTGACAATAAACTGCCAGCACAGGACCCTTTGAGCTGCCATCTTAACTAGATTGGAGAGCTCTTTGTCAATGTCAAGTTCAGAAATGTCCCAGTTGGTCTGGGCAAAACCTGATCGGCCCTCTTCACCTCTCTGTGATGCTGACACTAAGCTAAACCATGGTACCAGCCAGGTATCACCAGGAAGAGACTCCTGCCAACTCACCAGCTCATTTACCTCTCACTCCTAGGCACACTCTTGGAAGCCATTGAAAGGATTGTGTTTTCTGCTGCAGCTGATTGTGCTGACCTTCTCCTGGGAATGAGGGGCAAGTCCCTGAGGGCTAGGCTCCCCATTCTGGTCCATTACAGCTACTAGAGCTTCTGGGGTGGCTAACGGGTCCCTCTCCCACTCCAGCCCTCAAACTTGGGAAGCAGATCGAGGCGTGGTTGGGGCTTTCAGGGTGAGGATTTGCTGCTCGTAGCACCAGAAGGAGAGCAGCATGTAGCTCATGGGAGCCAAGTCCTGGGACAACAGCGCTGGGGAAGGGCCCGAAGGTGCCGGACTCTGATATCTCTCCAGGTTTGGCTTCTGCCAGGAAAGGATAACAGGGAGATTGCTTATGGCCTGGGCACCAAGGACCAACAGAACTGGAGTAGGTACGGTGCAGGGAGAGGGTCCCAGGACCTCACCTCACTTGGACAATCCAGTGGAGAGGCTAGGGTTGGGACCTACCAGAGGAAGGAGCACCCCCACCCAGGTCTGAGCAGAGGCTTCTAGGCTGAGCTTCTGACATGGTCTGGGCTGGGTCGATAGCACAGGAGTCAGACTACTCTGGGTTGGAATCCCGGGGCCCTGATTTACCTGTTATATAACTTTGAGCAAGTAATTACTATTTCAGCTTCAGTGTCTACAACGTGCTCACACTCACCGCAGTCCAGACACTGTCATGTAGACAATGGTTCATATACATTGTGACAGAGACAGAATATTTACAGCAGAGGCTGCCTTGTAGAACAGCCTGCTTAATAATGAACATGTAAAGAATGCGTTCAAATTTATGAGACAAACAACAGCTCAAATAGTTAAGATATTAAAGCACATGAGCAGAAAAATTTCACAGCTGGTAAATAGATGTATGGAAAAAGTTCAAATTCAGAAATAATAAAAGAAGTAGATAATGCAACACTGAAGTATCATTTGTGATGATTATTATTGATTTATGAAAATTAACAGTACACTATGCTGGTGAGGCTGCACTCTGCGTGGTATGTTGATATGTTTTGAAGCAACCTTTTCAGAGAGCAATACTCCAGTATATCTAGAGCCATAAAAGTGTTTGAAATCTATGATACAGTCATTCTAGTCCACAGACTTAATCCTAAAGTAATAATCTTTTCAAAATGTTTCTTATAAGGATTTTTCAAATGTACAAAATAAAGAATAGTTTAATGAATCCCCCTATACTAAACGAAAATTTTTTTTTAATGGAGGTACTGGGGATTGAACCCAGGACCTCAGGCATGCTAAACATACGCTCTACCACTGAGCTATTTCCATTCCCCACCAGGAACATTTTAACAGAAGAAAAAAAGCTGTACGTGTCAGGATGTCCCCAGATAAAAATTTAAAACAATCTTAATATGTAACAGGAGAATGTCTAAATAAATTGTAATTCATCTTCAGATACACTATCATGTAGCAATTAAGATGGTAAATATGAAAATTGTTGAATTGTATAAAGCACAATCTGATGGTAAGTGAAAAATCAGAATTTAAATTCTACCTACAGGTGATGACAATAGTGTAAGAGCATATACTTGAGCAAAGGTTAAAAGGAAATATGACAAAGTATTTGCTGTATTAGAGTGGGAAGATTGTGAATTCATGGATTCATCTTTTTCTCCTTGACTATTGTTGTTATATTATTTTTACAATAAAATTAATGAGAGGGATATTTGAGGCTCTGCCCCTGAATCAATCTGTGAACGTGTATTTGTTGGGAACCGCTTCCACAGGCAATTTGTTGTATTAAATTGTTGTATTAAAAATGGAATAGGGTAGGCACAGGATTCAGTTTTGGGGCAGGGGCTTGTCTGTAAGAATCTCAAAGACTCTGAGAACGTCAGAGCTACATGGGACCAGTGTGGCATCTTCGTTTTGCCCTGAGACCCAGGGAGGCTAAGTGACTTGCCCTGAATACCCAGCCAAAGCCGATTCCACGGAGGGTTAGGCACTCTCACCCAACTAGCCAGCTGGCTTTAGCTCAGTCCCCCATCTCAGAGCACTTCCATTTTCCTGGAGTTGGCAAGAAAGCAGCCAAATAGAGAACACTCTTCTAGTGCAGGGGTAGGGGGAGGGCATCCTGAACTGGAAGGGTACAGAGACACTGCTGCCAGGATGCAAACCCTATGCCCTGATTGTCTCCACAGGACCCTGAGTGGGCTCAGCCAGACCCACCCCTCCCAGCAGCACGTGGGGCTGTCCCAGACCGTCCGACTTTCTCCAGCCACTGCGGCCAGTGGTCAGCTGACTTCCAATGCCCTCCCTGTGGGGCCAGGCCTTGAGCAGAGGGATGGTGCCCAGCAGGCAGCATATCTGGACCACCTCTCATCCCCTTGGGGTAAGGACACCCTGTCTTCAGGTCCTAGAAGAGTGGGGCATCTAAATCTCTGACTTTCTTCTCCCCACCTTTGCTTCCCTCTTTCTCTCTCAGAAGTGCTGAGTTGTCACTCTCATCCTTTCAGCCAATAAACAAACAGGTGTCAAGCACCTGCTTTGTGCCAGGCTCCAAGGGTTCCAAACCAGCTGATGGGGACTTTGCCCCTTTGAGACACCTAGACCTGGATTGATCTATTTCTGCCCCACCTGTCACCCGTCCTGCCTTTGCTTCCTTCATATCCAGCTGTGACTCTTACCTCCCTGGCCCTGGTCCTTCCACTTCATCCTTCCTGCAAACCCCAACCCTCCTCAACCAAATTGACCAGTTGCTTCCTTAGCAACTAGAGTGGGGCCTCTGCTTCCCAGAGGAGACAGCCAAGCGTCCCTGCAGATTCATGCCTCTGCATGTTCTTGGTTGTTCCCCAACAATCTCAGCGGCTCCCCAGAGCACCTCGCCTTCCTGTCCATCTGCTCCCCCGTGCACAGCAATCATTCTCTTACCTAAACCCATGCCCTGGCTGACTGCCTTTCTTTGTTTTCCTTCTTTTTTTTGTTTTTTGTTTTTTCTTTCTTTGTTGTTTATTTTGGTTTTACTTTTTTTTCTCTGTTTTCCATTTTAAAAATTAAGGTAAAATTCATATAATGTAAAATTAACCATTTTAAAGTGTACGCATCAGTGCTGTTTGGTATATCCACAATTTTATGCAGCTACCGCCACTAATTACAGAATGTTGTCATCACTCCAGAAAGAACCCCATGCCCATTAAGCAGTCACTCCCTTTCCCACCCCGACCCTGCCATGGCCCCCAGCCCCACTAATCTTCTTCCTGTCCTTACAGATTTGTATATCCTGAACATTTCATTTACACAGAGTCATCCACTATGTGGACTTCTGTGTCTGGCTCTTTCACTTAGTGTGGTGTTTTCGAGGTTTGTCCATGTTGTGGACTGCACATGTCAGTGCTTCATTCCTTTTTACAGCTGATGACCTTTCTTGTCATCTTGAAAAGGAGGTGCCCCTCTTCTTGTCTAAGGCACGCCCCCACTGTTTCTTGACTCCTCTGGAACACTAAGCTGCCACTTGCCCTCCCGCTTCCCCGTCTCCCCTCCACCTTCTCCGGTCCCCCTCTCTCAGACATTTCCCTACAGCATATGCAGTTGCTTACAGCTCTCCCATTCTCACACACACACACACACACACACACACACACACGGTTATTTCTCCACTTTCCTCTGGCTTCCTTTCTATCTCTCCTCCCTTCACAGTCAAGGCTACAGAGACTTCTTATACTTCCCTTCTCAACCCCTCTGCCTCCTGGCTTCCCTCCCTGGGCCTTCTGTACTGAATAAAAACCCCTCTTCCCCTCCTTTGTATCTCCACTGCCACCACCGTGTTAAATGAAGCAACCTCAGTGCACACGGCTGCAATGACCTCCCAACCGATCACGGTAGGGCATGAACCCCCCATACTCCCTCTCTGATCTCTTACTGAAAATTTTCAATGACTTCCCACCATGAACCAAATAGTGTCCTATCCTTGTCTGGCCATCAGGGACACCAACCCTGACTCTAATCATTCTTTCAGGCTTTCTATTCCTCCGCTTCTCTTGGAAAACCCCTACTCTGGCAAGTCTGAGTTACATTCTGTTCTCTGCTTTTTGGCTCAAAGCCCAGCTGCAGTCCTTACCAGCTCTGTGACTTGGGCTGCAGCCCATCCTTCTCTGAGCCTCAGTTTCCTTAACTGTCAAATGGAAATACTAACTTGGATATAGGAACATTGCCAATAAGCAAACAGTTTAACCTTAAAAATGGCAATTTCTAATAGTTCAACCTAAAAGTATGCTCAAGAGGGTTGAGAGTTACTGTACATGAAGCACAAGCTTAGTTGCTGGCTGGTTGACATCCCTCAATAGACAGTGGGCCACGGGCTATTACTTTCTGAGATATTACTCTGCCCGGATAATGAGACTTGCTTTCAGTAGGAACTTAGCAAATACCCTTGGGATGGATTCAACCCAGTCCCATGGGCCTTTCTAACCAGCCTCTGGAGGTCACAGCTGTGCCTCTCAGCCCTGCCCCCTGGACCCAAGCCCTCTCTCTGCAGGGCTGAACCTCACGGAGAAAATCAAGAAGATCAAGATCATCTTCACTCCTACCATCTGCAAACAGACCTGTGCCCGCGGGCACTGTGCCAATAGCTGTGAGCGCGGTGACACCACCACCCTGTACAGCCAGGGCGGCCACGGGCATGACCCCAAGTCTGGCTTCCGCATCTGTGAGTCCATTCCCACTGTCCCCTTTAGAGGGTTCCCAGCTGACCCTGGGAGTGGGTGTGGGGGTGACCAGTGGAACAGGTCGGCCTGGGGCTGGAGCCCAGCTCTACTGCAGGAAGGAAGCCCAGTGCCCCCAAACTCCTGTGAGTTGTCCTCAATCACACAATGCTGGATCCTCACCCAGCTCAGTCACTTGTGACTCTGAGCAAGTTGCATAACCTCTCTGAATCCAGCTTTCCTCCAGGGAAAAGTGACGGTGTTAATAGTGCCACTCCCTCAACCCCCAGGTTAGGTTATTTTGGGGTAAAGGCCTGGTTATTATCCATCCTCCTTCACTTCCAGGCTCCTAGAAAGTCCTTGCATTTAGGGGTGCTGGGTTCCCCAAGCCATCCAGATTTGGGGTCCTGCTTCCCCTGCCTCCTTATTGTTACTCACTGGCCCCATAGTAGGTGCTGCTGTGTTTCCACCGCCAGTCACCCTGAGGTCGATGTTGTAGATTTCTGCCAGATCCCCTGTCTGAATGGAGGCCGCTGCATCGGCAGAGATGAATGCTGGTGTCCTGCCAACTCCACCGGGAAGTTCTGTCACCTGCCTGCCCCCAGGCTGGACAGAGAGCCTCCAGAGAGGGGCCCCCGCCACAGGGCCCCACCAGAGAGCCCCTTGAAGCAGTCCACCTTCACACTGCCTCTCTCCAACCAGCTGGGTGAGTGTGGGGCTGGGAGGCACCCTGCGTAACCACATAGGGTAGGTGCTGGAGTCTTGTTGGAGGGGACAGGAAGCTGTTGCCAGCACTTCCTTATCTACCCTCAGGGTTCAGTTTCATTCCCTGAAGTTCCCTGGTTCCCTGTTCTCTCCTATGAATTCATCCTTTTTTTCCTTCCTTACTCCCTACTGGGTGCTATGGGTGAGACAGAAGGGTATAAGGGCAGGGTTCTGACCTCAAAAGACCCATAGTCCTAGACAGTAGAGAGGGGATGGATGAGAAAGAGAATCACATCATAAAACATTTCCTTTTCTATACCTTCCATTATCAGGTGTCAAATAAAGGGCACAAAAGATACAGAATTCTATAGATCGTCAGGGGATAGACAGCCCCAAGCCCAGGGTGTTCAGGGAAGGCTGCATGGAGGAGGTGGACTTCAGTTAGGCGTTAAACAATGGGTAGGCTTTGGTTAAGCAGAGGAGAGTGGGAGGGGCTCCTGGCAGAGGGACTGGCGTGAACAAAGGCATGGAGTTGGGACCATGCAGGATCGGTTGGGCTGAGCTTGGGGGTTCTGCAGGATCGTGGGGGAGGTGGAGTCAAAGGTAGTTTAGAAGTTGGTGATGAAGGTTCTTCGTGGAAAGGTGGGGAGTGAAGGAATTTGTGCTTCATCCTGTCCTCCCTGGGAAATTGTTCTGGGCTTTGGGTAGAGAGTGGAGATATGGAAGGAGAATTTTGGGGAGACACACAGCCAGTGGGTGGGGCCCTGTTTCCCACCGCTGACTGCAGCCCCTATGCCCAGCCTCTGTGAATCCCTCCTTGGTGAAGGTGCACATCCACCACCCGCCTGAGGCCTCCGTGCAGGTCCACCAGGTGGCGCGGGTGCGGGGCGAGGCCGAGGAGGCCCCGGAGGAGAACAGCGTGGAGACCAGACCCTCCCCCCGACTCCCAGCCAGCCCAGGCCACGGCCACTGGGACAGCAACAGCATCCCCGCTCGGTCCAGAGAGGCCCCTCGGCCCCCGCCCCTCATGGTGCCCAGGCCTCAGGGACTCCTGGGCCGGTGCTACCTGAGCGCTGTGAATGGACAGGTGAGAATGAAGCCTCCTGCCGGGGGCTTCCCAGACAGCAACTTCTCCCTGAGCTGCCCCTCCTCCTTCTCTTTCTCCTCCTTGTTCTTATGAAATTTGAGTGTCTGCGGGTTCTCCCATTCCCCAGCTGGAAAAATTCAGGGCGTAACATCACCTGAGTGTGAAGAGTCTGGGCCTCCTACCTGCGCTCCATTGGGTACCTGTCAGTGCCAGGCACACAGAAGAGGGCCTAAGAGGTTCCCTGTGGAGGGGAATGAGGGGACTTGGGTCCCAACAAATCCTAGGCTCTCCTGGAGCTGAATGGAGGATCCCTCTGGTTGCATGAACAGTGGAGCTATTAGATCTGGCGAAAAGGAGTTTGGTCTTTAGTTGAGAGTTGAGTCACAAAGATGTGGAATTAGCAAATGAAAGTTAAACCCCAAGGCCTTGGGGGTGCAAAGATAAAAGACACTCCATTCCCCCTGCCCCCGGTGGCATCTGCAGTCAGTGATGGGAAATCAAGTGAGCTTTTCTGAGTCCAGGTGCCTAAGAATAGGGGCTAAGCCAGACTCAGGTTGGTTTTTCTTAGGGTTGGTGTTTCCAGAAAGCCCTCATGAGATTAGGGAACTGGAGGTGGCAGCACCCAAGGGATAGGGACTCTGAGTCCCCAGATCCTCCCTGCCTCTCAGCTGTGGTGTTGCTGAGCATGGACCTTGCTCATGGGAGGTGGTCCTGGACTTCTCTGGAGTTTGATGGAGGAAAACCCATCCTTTGGGACCCCTCTGTCTGTGGGGTCAGTTTGGAATGGGGGCAGTTTGCAGACTTCACAGAGAAGATCTTGTTTGGAGGTGTCCCTGCCACTCCACTAAGTTTTGAGTCTGGCAAAGTGGACCTCAGATTTCTCTGCTTCCTTCCAGGACCACAGCTAACTCTCCCCTCCCCTCCCTTGTGGGGAGGGCATCCTCTGGCATGATGTGGGAGATGAGCTCGTGTCTCAGGCTTTCTTGGAACATCTCTGTGCACAGCAGGGGAGGGAAGCAGGTGACAGGTGTCCATGGCCTTTTTTCCAGTGTGCCAACCCCCTGCTGGAGCTGACTGCCCAAGAGGACTGCTGTGGCAGTGTGGGAGCCTTCTGGGGGGTGACCTCATGTGCCCCGTGCCCACCCAGACCAGGTGAGTGCTGGGTACCAGGGTCCAGGGTTGTGAGCAAAGCTCCCCAGGGCCTGGCCTTTGCTGCCGGCACTCCACTGCATCTCCCACCAGGATCTCAGAGGCCAGGCAAGTAGAACAGGTTGGTAAACTGAGGAGCTTTTCCAGATCTCCCTTGAGTGTGCTTTTGGCTAGTGGCAGAGGCTGCTGACGGCTCAGACCCTCTGCCATGTGCAGTATGGCCTGTCTGCTCTACAGGATTGCCTGGGAGGACTTACTCCCTTTTGCCAGTTGTTCTTGACCAAATTTTAGGGATCCCATCCCATGCTGGGCCCTCTTCTACTCCTCAACCCCCTTCCACATATCCCGTGCCCAGGTACCAAGGGCCCAGAGGTCTTGATTTAGTGACTCAGTATTCCCCTCATTCTCTCCCTGGAGAGGCCCCTACGCCTCCTCTTTGTCTCTTATTTCCTGCCTCCCAGTCTTTGACTCAGGATTGAGCATCTGCCCCTGAATGTCTTTGGCCTTGGAGTATGGGAAACCCAGTTTCCAGCCCTCTTCTGATTAGTGGGAACATCTAATGTATTCATTCATTCATTCATTCATTCATTCACTCATTCATTCATCAAATACTCACCAGGTGCCTCGTGTGTACTGAGCACTGAGAATTCAGGAGTAAGTGAAATGCCACTCTCATAGGCATTGATCTTGAAGTAGGAGATGGGGAATAAGGTGCCTGTGCTTAAGTATGGCTTCTGCCAGCTCAGCCTGTCTTCCCCCTGCTGGCCGCACTCCCGGGCAGGGGCCTGGGCCTGGGCCTGGCATGTATTTCTTTTGCCTGGCGGCAGTCACTCGGTGAGTCAGCTTTGTGGGGGGCCTGGCCCAGAGCCCGAAGGTGGGTGGGGCAAGGCTGTTCTAGCTTCACACTTGGCAGTGGAGCAGTGACCGTATTTTCCATATTGAAAATAAATGTGGACAGTTTCACGGTGTGATAGAATTTTTGGTGAAGCAGCAATGGGTGATATTAAGCTTGCAGGCTTGGATCATCCAACACGTGGCAGGTACCCGTCCCAGCTCGACCTGCTGATGTCTCTCTGCCCCATCTCCGATCTGTGAAATGGAGACAGTAACAGTGCCAATCTCGAAGGGCTGCTGCGGAGAATCGGTGAGATGGTGCATGTAGCATTAGATTGATACGTGGTAGCTGTTATAATTATTACTAGAAAGTATCCCTCCAAGAAGGGAAAAGGGACTGGACCCATTGCCCCACGGACAGGAGTGTGTTGGACTGCTCAGCATCTCCCGCTGCAGGCCAGAGATGTTTTACCACTTCTTTCCTTGTTTTCCTTCCTCTTGGTCAAACCTACCCTTGAGAATTTTACATCCCACACTCCATTGAATCAACAAATATTTATATTGATGAAATACTCATTTGAAGTGCCATAGTGTGCAGCCCTGAACAAACAATGGGGAATGAGGCAGAAACAGTGCCTCCCCTCTCCAAGCCTACAGTCTGGTGAAGAAGGGGACACAGACAGCACCAGGTCCACTGATAGGTTCTGTAGCATCTGTGTGCAAATTAGAGAAAGGTGCCCCTTCCATGTGTTCAAAGCAGTCTTTATAAATAGACAAATCTAGGAGGCCAATGATTCTCTTAGATGTGATCCTTTTGTGCAGTGCACAACCTGCACATCTGTACATTGTGGGGCAGGAGATCCTAGCTCAAACTGGTGAGTCAAGAAAAGCTTCTTGCAGGAAGTAACATCCAGGATGAGATCTGAAGCATTACTAGAGAAAGCGAAAGAGATGGAGAAGAGCTTAATTTAACAACCCAGGAAAATTGCATAGGCAGGTGAAATCAAGAGAGTGACAACATTTCCTGGAGCCCTCACCCCCTCCCTGTTCCAGGTGGTGCCTTCTCCCACCACTCCCTCACTGTGTTCAGCACAGCTCAGCAAGCTGGGCACCAGGATGCAGACCCTGGAATGTTAAGCATTCCAGAACACTGAGCAAGAAATTACAAAGACAGGGCAATGTAAACATTTAAAATGCATTCAGGGGCAGCTGGGCTTTGTAGAGAAGGGGCAAGAGGCTGGGGAACCTTGTTTGTATTGATAGGGTGCCAGATACCCAGCTCCACACACAACCCTGGGGCCAGGGTGGCGAATGTTTCTTTAAGTAGGCAGGATAGGCAAGCTACTGTGCAAGAATCAGAGGAAGAAAAGGCGAGCTGCTGGGGTGGGTTTAGGAATGGTTGGCAAGACAGGCAGGACTTGAGTTCCAGAACACTCTCAGCCCTGGTGGCTTTGCCCCTCTGAGCCTCTATTCCTCTTCTGATAAAATGGGCTATGCCCCTCAGAGAAGGGCTTTGTCGTCCCTGGTACACTGGTCTAGTAGAGTCAGGGGGTCAGGGGAGTAATAAAGCCAACAGCGGGAGTGGGGGAGCCATGACTTCATGGCTTCCCCTAAGTCACCTTGGCTTCTGAGGCTCAAGGCTGGACCTTCTTCGATGGTCCCTGCAGAGTGCTGCTATTTCTGACTTGGAAAAGGACTGCCTTGCAGTCTTAGTTACATGGCCCAGACAAATCCCTTTTCTTCCAGAAAAATTCCTCAGTGCCTTCTTTCTCAGGGAGTCAACCTAGGGCAGCCTCTGGTCCCCCCACCCTTTTCTGTTCACTCTGAGTGACAGCTGTTAGCTGACCTGACAGGACCTTGGCCTGAGCCATGTCTTCCTGACCCTTAGGGAGTTATCAAAGGTCTCAGCTTCTGCAGTCCCCCTGCCAGGGTCTGGAGAGCACACAGCTCTCAAAAGCCACATTGATTGAGGCCACATTTTTGAGTTTTCATCTGAGAAAGACAGACATCTGGGTCGACTGGGAAGTTGGCCACTGCCCCATCTGGCTTGGCACTGGCTGTGTCAACCCCAAGGCCCCTTTGCTGGGGCAGGCGGGGCTGGCCCACGGCGCGTGGGCTGCAGTGGTGGGCCCCAGCTGGTGTCATGAGACCATCTCTGTCTGCTGGGTGTTGGGTGAGTTCACCTCAGAACCCACACCCTACTCTGTATCTTCACAGAGACCTGATTCCCTTGGTCTGCGCCTTTAAGGAATTCTGCATCTTCGCTTTTAAAAATAGTAACAGCCACCAGTTACTGAACTTTTACACTCTGCTGGGCTTGTCACCTACGTTATCTCATTTCATTGTCACAACCGTCTGCAAACTAAGATCTTTATCCCCATTTGACAGGTGAGAAAAATGAAGCGCAGAGAGGGGTGAGGAAGTTGACCAAACTTGCACAGCTAGGACGGGGAAGCCAGAATTCAGATCACAGCGTGTCTGACTCTCGGCTGACCAAGATTTCCCTAATCATTCTGGGGGAGGCTTGGGGCTGCATGAAGACAACAAAGATCAGGGTGCTGGACTAGGGTTTCACAGTCAGGAGAGTGCAGCCCAGGACCCTATTCCATGTATACATGAAGGGCAACATCCCTCAAGAAGACTGGGCTGAACAGACTGGTAGAGCAGCACCTGTAGCCCAGGCCTGAGAGTTAACAGAGATGTGTGGAAAGAATTAGCTGGGGGAAAGCAGGTAGGTTTGTACCCTGTGGCTTAGGGGTGGGGCAAAAGCTGATGTGTAGATGTTTCTAGTAGGTGGAGCTCAACTCCAAACTCAGTACATGGGACAACTTATTAAAAACTGCAGCTGCCCAGCAGTATAACGAGGTGTTTCCAGAAATACTGATCTCCCCACCTCGAGAAATGCGCCTACCTAGAAAAGGTGTGGAGGGAGTTGGGGAAACAAATTGATGTTTGAGGGAATGGAGGTTTATATATACATCTGAAAAGTTATTTGAAACTGTCAATAGAAGGAAAGACTTGGTTTGGCTTGGTTTTGCCATGGCCCTTGACCACGAGGAGTGTTCCAAGAGTAGGTCTGTGATGCCAGCCCCCAGGAAGGGTGACCATGTGAAGGCGCAAAGGTGATGTTCAGAGGCTGGAGCAGAGAAGCTTAGAGCAAGTCACAGCAGCAACATCACTCTCATTAAGTCCTTGTTAGCAGCTCTTTTTTCAGAGCACATAATAAGCACCAGGCCCCAAGCTGAGTGCGTTCTCACTCCATTGCATCCCAGCAGTATCTCTAGGTGTTACTATCTTCATTTTACAGATGAGGAAATTAGTCCTGAAACCCCAGGTCTGTGTGGCCCCAGACCCCTGCTTGTAATCACTCTGTAATCTCTCTCCTCTGCTTCTTGTGCCCTTGGCTTGGGCATTGGCTAAACTGGAGGACCCCGGCAGGGGGAACAGCTGTGCTGGGGCGGGGCTCCTGTTCTCTGTGACTCTGGGTCAGCCGCCCAGTCTCCTGAAATGGGATTTTCAGAATTCCAGTTGTTGGGTTGAAAAAAGTCATGACTGTTTGGCTCCGGGATGTTCTGAGAGCCTCTTCCATGGGACTTTTGGCCTCGTGGGAATTGTGCCTCAGCTCAAGTTACTGCCCTCCCTACCAGAGCAGGGGTGATGCTGATACGTGGCATGTCTGGCCTGGAGAGCCCCAGGGAGGGATGGGGTTGGGGTGGCACCTGTCTGAGCCCAGGGTCTGACAAGACCCCTCTCCATATCACTGTTGGTGGTGACAGAGACACCCACTTTGGCTCTGGTGCCGCCCTAAGGAAGCAGTCAGAGCCCATCTTTGGGTGGAATTTCTTCAATCATTGGGAGGCTCCATGAGGACTTTATCAAGGAGGAAAATCTGGAATAAAGGACATATGATAATTATCAGTAAGTGACAAACATCATGCTCAGAGTTCTGCATGCTTCTTTAATGTTCACAATAACCCCAAGAAAGGAATTGTCATCCCCATCCTACTGTAAGAAAGGACCGACTGTATAACACAGGAAACTACATTCAATTTCTTGTATTGAGCTGTAGTGGAAAAGAATCTGAAAAATATATAGTTGTATACATGTATAACCAAACTGTTTGCTGCACACCTAAAACTAACATTGTAAATTGACTACACTTCAAAAAA